CTATATCCAAACTCCTTTGTCTCCTGAGTGCCAGCCCTGAGCCCCGCTGCAGGACACCAGAACCTTTAAATTGTGCCCCCCACTATCCACACTCACCTCCCCTCTGCCTCCCCCTCTCTACGGGCAGCTCCCCGGTTCTGCCCCTGCACGGTGCTCAGCTCCCAACTGCTTGTGCCAAAGCCACCGGCACCTCCTGATTTCATACTCCCCCTGGTAGGGGCCAGGGAGGCAGATCTGGCTCTTGAATGGCACTTTTGTTTTCAGGGCAAGAAATGAAAAAGGCTGATGGGAAAACAGCTCCAGGAAAGGGACTCTCCAAAAGGAGGTTAAATAGGACGGAGCAGGGTGGAGGGAGGGGAGCGGTTAAACCCGCAAACTGCAGAGGGGCCAGATAAACCCTGGGCTGCTACAAAAAGGCTCCAGATGTTCTGGATACAAAATCAAAACGCACCTAGTGCAGGGTGGGGGCTTTGTAACTAACACACGTAATAACAAACAGCGATAACGGACGAGCTGCGACATCCCTTTTCAATGACAAACACTGCACTCAGGGGGAGGTAACGGTGCTGCTGCTCGGGGGTGTGACTCTGGCAAACCAGGTGCCAGCTCATGCCAAGCCCCCCATAGCTCCACTGATCCCTGACACAGCCCGAGCTGGGTGTTAGTGTTGTTACACGAGGGATTAGAGTTATACAAACGAGCTTCCCGTTTAGCCTTTATTGAATGTGTGTGAGTTGCTGCCTGTGTTAATCTCACTTATAACAGCTGTAGCCACCGTGTACGGTGCTACTGGAGCATTCGCATTGGAAGCGTCTGTAGCTGTGCACATCAGTGGACAGGAGAGAAGCATGAACCAGTGTGAAACGCTAGTCTCTGAAAGCAGCTGTTATGTCCTGCCTGACAACGCAGGCCCAGCAACACCAGACGAAATACTATGGACCAGCAGATGGCAAAAGACTTTGTTGATTGCTGCAACCCAGGAAGAGGGGACAGAAAAGTGAATTCCTCCCAGCAGCTGAGTTTGCAACTTGAAGCAGAAGGAGGGAAGGAATAAAAAGCCCTAACAAGGAGGAACTCTGTCTCTATGCTGCTTAGATCCTCAAGGACAAGTTTTTTCCGGCATAAGCAAGTAATCCCCAGTGTTTAGCCTGGGTTAGTCCTAAAGGACATATACAGTTTGTTTATATATAGAGGCTTATATTAGTTCTTGGAACTCATTTGCGTGTAGATGTGTTTATCTGCTTTAACCTTGTAAAGGACTCTCTTGTTTTCTTTTCCTATATAATAAATATTCAGATAGTTCATTATAGGACTGGCTACAAGTATTGTCTTTGGGGTGAGATCTAAAGTGCAATTGACCCGGGGTAAGTGACTGGTCCTTTGGGACTGGGAGTAACCGGAATATTGCTGGGATCTTTGGTGCAAGGGACCATCTATGGGAAAGAAAAGCGAACGTCCCTGGGTGGTGAGACAGACGGGAGTGCCCAAGGGGACTGTCTCTGACTCCATAGTAAGGCTGTTATGGAGCCTGAGGCGTTTGCAGGTGAAATCTAAGTACAGAACTCACAGCCAATCTGGGCTTTGTGCCAATCCGGCTTCCTCACCCTCTGCCCTGAGCTTGGCACCAGGCTCTTGAACCGCTGTAGGACAGCTTGACAGGGGCCTTCTGATCCCAGCATCTTCCAAGATGTGGGACTTCAACCCAGCCCAACTCATGCGCTAGGAAGCCAGGAAATGCTCCCTGAAGGTCTCCTCTCCCTCTCCCCGCTGCCCCAACAGAGCCACAAAGAGACGCTGGATGTTTTCCTTGCCGTGGGACGGGACGGCCGGCTCAGGGGCAGATCAGCCAAAGGACTCTGCACGTCTGGGGTGAGTTCAAGCATTGCCAGGGTGGTTTATTGTCGAACAGAAATTATTACACAACCATCTCCTGCCTCTTCAGAGCTGGGCAGAGGCAGGAGGCTTCAGCCAGAGTCCAGAGGAGCAGAAAAGACACAACCCAGCACTGCACATGGTCTGTGTCCCACCTCCCCGGTGTCCCCGCGCACAGACCAGCATGGGCACCTATGGGATCCGGCCCTGCCCACTGCCCTCAGGGACCCTCTCCAGGCCACTGCGGTGATTGGCCAGACCCAGCAGTAACAGCAGGGGTCTGTTTCTCTCCAATCAAGTCACAGGGACACATCCATAAAACGCCCAGCTCCTGCCAGCCCGGGGACCTGCCAGCCCAGGTCTGAGCGTCAGGCCAATCCCACAGGACTCAGCGGAGCTGCTCCAGGACCACCGGGTCTCACGGACACACAGCGTATTACACAGAAACAAATGGGGTTACACCCCCGTATTCCACATATCTGCTCCCTGAAGCGAAGGTCAGTGCAGACAGCGCAGAGGGATGGGCTGAAGGGGGCAGGGAGCCCGGTCAGGAGTCCTTCCAGTGGCTCTTTCGTCAGCTGGCAGGACTGAGTGGTGGGTACGTCCCATCAGAAATTCCTAAATTCCTAGGCCAGAAGGGACCGTTGTGCTCCTCTAATCTGACCTGCTCTAAAGCACAGGCCAGAGAACCTCCCCTGGATAATCCCTAGAGCAGATCCTTTAGAGAATAATCCCATCTTGATTTTAAAATTGTCAGTGATGGAGAATCCACCACAACTCTTGGTAAATTGTTCCAATGGTTAATTACTCTCATCATTAAAAATTTAGGCCTCATTTCCAGTCAGAATTTGTATAGCTTCAACTTCCATTCATTGGATCGTGTGTCAGACCTTTATCTGCCAGACTGACGAGCCCATTATGAAATGTTTGTTCCCCATGTCACGTAGGTACTTATAGACTGTAACCAGGTCACCCCTTCACCTTCGCTCTGTCAAGCCTGGGCTCCATCTGATTGGCCAGCAGGGGTCACTGCAGCTCCACCATCTAGGGACTCGTTTCCTGCACTGGGGGACAGAGGCTGTAGACAGAGAAGTTGGCAGGAGGCAACAGTGCGAGAAAACAGGGAAATTGAGCAGGGGCTGCAAAAGGAAAGAATCCAACAGGTGAATGAGCAGAGTCAGTCAATGACCCGTCCCTTAGCATTAACCCGACCCAGGGAGGAGCCCCCCAGGGGCAAACTACTCTAGTACGCTCCATGTCAGCCCCCATCACGCCCTCAGCTGGGGGTGTTGGGGAGCAGTCATCTCATGCTGTATGTTTAACCGAGGGGAGATTTACTCGGGGCTTTGACTCTCCTGGATTTCCAGTGACCGTAGAAAGGGGAGGGACCCTCCAGGTCAGGGATCAGGGCTGGGGCACAGGAAGCCCAGAGGAGGGTGATGCTGGAGTGGATTCAAGCTAGAACTGTTGTGTTCCCCGAGGGACGGTGCCACCAGCTCTGGGCTGAGGACCAGGCTGAGCAGGATGGAACGAGCTGGGGGTTTGTCTCTGTGGGGCACAGACACGGGGACCTGGGCAGCAATGCCAGGGGAGGCTGGATAACAGCAGTCACCGGGCTCTGGAATCAAGGAATCCGGTCCAGAGCCACGACTGGGTCGCTGGGACCCTCGTACAGGCCCGGCGCAGGAGAGGGTCAGGGACCCGGGAATGCCTGGCCCTTGGGCTGGAGTGGGACTCTTGTTCTGGGGGGTGAATATCCTGGGGCAGAGATTCCAGAGCTCACCAGGGGCCCTGGACTGTGTTCCCGGGGGAACCTGCCCCAGCAGAACCCAGTCACTAGTGATCTGGGCTGGCATCAGACGGGGAGGGTCTGTCTCCCATGAGGAGCCCCAGACACACCCAACCTCACAACACTGACTCCCTATGAGACTTTAACGCATCCTGCTCTGCTCCTGGGCTGCAGCATTACAATCCGTTCCCTCTGGCTCCCAGGGGAACTCACAGCAAATCTACATTTACCTGGTTACGCTTTGCTTCTCAGGAAGAGGAAGAGGAGGAAGGCGGCTGTCAGCACCTTCTCCAGGAAGAGCCCGATCCAGAGAGCGGGGCTGGAGAACAGACTGTGACCTGCAGTGTAAATGTATCAGATCAGCCAATGGACAGGAACCCCCTCCTCCCCGCCACTCACCCGCAGAGAAGAGAACTGCCTGGCTCACATGCCCCTTTACCGGGCTCCGAGGAAACTGGCCTTCCCTGGGGCTTGGCGAGTTCCTGTCTCTGAACAGCAGGCTGGCAAATGGCCCCTGCAGAGTTTGCCCAGCTCTGCCTGGCAGCTGTATCCACACGCTGCTGCCTGGCCCCAGGGCAGCCCAGACTCTACAGGGGAGACCTCGAGCTTCGCAGAGCAGGAGAATAAGGACTCAGGAGTGACCATGTTCGAGCCCCTC